ACAACAGTTTTTATTATTTTTTAGATGTTCCAGGTGCTTATTATAGCCTCATGAATCCAGATAGTGAGATCATGCTTTCGGTGTTTCGGAAAATAGAGCTAATCGTCAAAAAAACCGCTGGTTCCCACTGAAATTCATGATCATTTTTAGTAAGTAAATAACTTAGACTGGCTGATAAAAATTTTAGAAAACGCGGTGCTAACAGCAAAGATGACAGCGTGGAGAGTACAGCCAAAAAACGGTGTGAGGAGAATGGCGATAGCTCTACTAAGGATGCACTAAAGGTAACAGCATCGTTATTTTGCTTCTTCTAGCATTGGCTACAGTAACGAAAAACATCTAAATTAAACTCGATATTGATAAACCTGATGCTCTTTTATCCGATTTCAAAAGTAGGAAGCCTGAGTTCATCCAGTGACAGAGGCATTGAATGAAATCCCAAGCCATTTTGGTATACCTGCTTGCTCATCAGTAACTCAAGAGAGTGCAATTCTTTTGGCACACTGACTCAGCTGAACAATTTTTGAAAAATGTCTATTCAAAGTTCCGAAAATTGAAATGATAGACTCACTTGAATGTTTAGAAACAAGCCGAAATAATGTGGAAATTGCGGGAAGGTTTACAGAAGAATATATCGAGATACGAAATGCAGGAACTACTTTCATCGAACAATCAGAAAGTCCCTATAGGCGAAAAGAATGTAGGAATCGCTTTCAGGCTTCTTTACTAATCTGAATCTTTATTTTGTAGATACTGGACCACCTCGTTGACTGCGCAGTCTTCGGCAGTCTCGCCCCATGCCCAAAGTGTAATGGTAATCTGAAATTCAAGTAGGCAGAAGAATTCGATGTTCCAAAAATTGCTGCTATCCTTGGCCGGCCCTCAAATCGCTGTTTACAGCTCATCGCTGAGGCTTTACGTGTGCGATGGACGACTTTCGGAGTATACAAGGTGTACTTACAGAAGTGAGATTCCAGCTCGGAAAAAATTTGTAATTTCAAAGGATTTCAAAGATAACAATGATTATCTGAAAAAACTTAAAGTTAATGTGAGTCAGCTTCTGGAATCTTCCAATCTCAACTGCTTTCAAATGTGTTCCAGCTTCTTCCAAAGCGCATATATAACGAAGCATTGGCTGATGAAGCTGTAGTTGAGTGAGTAATCTGATATCCTTTAGGGAATCAAATAGTGCTTTGTTTTAGGCACGCTAATGCTTTTAAGCATCTAGGATCACGTGGAGACAAAGAAAAGGAAGAAGGTATGAGCAATACAAGAGGTGGACTTCTTATGTAGATTGGAAGGCCTCAAATAAGTTTTGCAAAAACGGTAGTTTATGTGAATGATTCCTGGC